AGATATCAATATAATTATTTGAAGTATCCTTATTTACATCATACTTATTTTGTTGACAATTGATGAATGCCAAAATTTTGGCCGAAAATACTTTTTTCAAAAATAATTGTCGCAGCTGATGCTGAAAACGGCTGATGCTGAAATTCGGATCTATTTAGATATGAAGTTTTAAAAATTTTTTGGGGTGTTTTTTCCCCGCTTTTTTTTTATAGTTGAGTTAGTGTTTAGGGTTAGAATTGATAATTAACAAGTATATGTGGATTTTAGCAGGGCTTATATTTTTAAATCGAGACCCTAAATTTCAGCTTCAGCCGTTTTCAGCATCAGCTGCGACAATAATTTAGGCACACATCTATACGCATGCAATTGGCTTAACATAGTATAACGGAAGTTTGATTGTTTATTTATATTAATATGAACTTTTTATATTGTTTACAACAAGACTATTTCTTGGCAGTTTTTCTTATTATAGTACAGCTATCAGTTCTGTATCTTTGATTAGCTGGTCGTGTTGAGTGCCATGGAATGTTTATCCGAATGAACATTCAATTTTTAATAACTCCAACTTTAATTTAAATGTATTAATTTAAAGTTTGGATTTTTGTATTTACTGGTTTTGTAAAACAGCTAGATAGCGATTATAAGAGTTTTGAATAATCTATTAGAGTATCTTTAATTTTCTCAGTTATTCATATATTAACAATTTTTTCGAATTTGTAAAGCAAAAGAAAAATTCTTTATTAAACTTGTATTGAATTTGATGTATAGTGTATACATTAATTTATATTAGTTTTAAACTCACATAAACCAATTTTTTTAATCAATAGTTATTTGAAAATTATATCTAACAAATATAGATTTATAATTTCACTTCTATTCGTTTGCTAAAAATTAAAAACATATGCCGACTGGATTCGGAGGATCAAATGTCATGCATTAAAACCAGGATGACTATCTTCACAATATGAAGTAATATATTCAACTGTACTTGGTCCACCAATAGGAGTTCATTATGGAGTAATAGTCGGGCATTCAGCTTCTGTAAGAGTACAAATAACGGTTGTAGGTACGCATTCATTTCTTTAAGAGCACAAGTAACGGTTGGTTTATTTTTATGCTGTTTATGCTTTTGACGATTATTATGATGACTTCTCTGTTCATGGCGCTTCTGGTTATTATTCTGGGGACAATTAAGTGTAGGAGTTGGTGTTTCTGTACATTCTGTTGCTGTTTCTGTTATCGTGAGAGCTTGCGTAGAGGTAGAACAAGATTCATTGGCATCAACAGTAATATTCGATAGCAACAGATATAAAAAAGTAATGATTAAAAATATGTTAATAGTTGTCTACCCATTGTTAAATTTTTTGCAAGTTCAAATTTAATCTTGCAAAGATCTTAACAGTATATATAATTTTTGATTTTGGCTTTGTAACGTTGTACTTAGATATTGCATTAATTTTCAATTTAAATTATATAATTGGTACGTACTTAATACATTACTAGGAAATCAGGATCTGATAAATGTCCGAAGCAATATGATTATTTATTATTAAAGTACTATCTTTTATACTGTATATTTTATTATATATGAGTGTCTCTAAAATAAAACCCGAAAATTTAAATATAAGTCATATTTAAATTTTTGGGTTTTCTTTTAGTGACACTCACATATCAAATTTCTATTCAGTACGTAAGGGAGGTGAGGGTATTATGGCGAAGTTAACACTGCGTACTAATAAAAGTATTTCAAAATATTTTGTTTTTAGAATTTTTTTTAAAGTTGTATAGATTTCAACTTGTTTTATAATTATGTTATTAGAAAAAATTGTGCTGTACCTAAATTATGTGATGCTACTTAGAGAGTTACAATTTTTATTTTTGTGAGGGTAAAATGGCAAACAATATGCAGATTGACGATCATTAAATATTGAATATGAAAAAACTATAACTAGTTATTCATTGATTACCGTTACATTCGTTGTGCTACTATCACCATTACTATTTTTTTTATCTGTCTTTTTTTTTTTTCTTTTCTCTTTTCAATGTTCTGTTTCTGCTTTTTTTCTTGCCTTTTCAAGTTCATGTTCTGCCTGCTTCTGTGTGGCAGCTTCTTTTTTTTTCACATTTTCAGCTTTTGTTTTGGCTAGTTCTTCTGCCTCTTCTAACTCTCACAAAGAGGCCTCGTTGGTAAGAAGTCTAGCAAATGGTAGAGTTTTCTTTTTTTTGTAGGTTGAGAATGAGATTTGGCATTATTAGATTCTGATTAATTAGTTTGTGAGGAATGACGAGGAGCAGGATATTTAAGCACTAGCTTTAATGAGCAGGTATCAGGATTTTTAAAAGTTTCTAGCTCTTCATTTATTGTTTTATATTTTCTTTTCAATAATTCATTTTCTTTTTTTAATATTTCGACCTCTTTTTCAAGAGATGTAAAATCTGTTCTTAACAATTCAATTCCACACCGAGTAGAATATTTGAGAGATATTGAATCTGGGGTTGATGGAACTTTGTTAATTTGTTGAAGAGAATAAGAAGAAGATAAGGAATTTGGTTGAAGTGAGTAAGATGAAGAATTAGATTGAAGAGAATGAGACAAAGAATTGGATTGAAGAGAATGAGATGAAGAATTAGAGTGAAACGAAAATAGAGAATTAATACATTCTGTTGTTAGTGAAGGATCAAGACGATCAGAACTAATAGTATTGGAATTAAACAGCCAAATTCCTGTAATTCTGAAAGCATTTTTAATAGCTTCTGAAGTATAAGTTGCTATAAATGCTGGCCCGAGGATTTTTGCAAACGTGTGCTTAGTTATCACTTCACCTGTATTATTGTGAAGCTGATCACAACCCTTGCTGTATTCTGATTTGAGTTTGGCAAAAGGAATTTTAGAGGGTTGAAGAATGTGTGTAGTATGTTGTGGCAATGCATATAATAAAATCTCATTCTCACTACTATATTTTATACTTGTGTAGTTTATGTAGCTCTTATGCCCATCAAGCATGAGCAAAACTGGACAGGCAGGGGGAATTGAATTGACAAAATGTTTGATATACATTTGAAAGAGTTCTTCCCGCATATATCCAGAATCAGTGAAGTCCATGACAGAACCATTTGAGGCACCAGATAATAGACCTGGTATTGCATAAATACCTTTATATATGAATAGTAGAGTGATAAAATTACCAGCTACTGAAATCGTCGGTGCAAGTGAAATGTAGTCATACGCATTTTCATGTGAGATCTTGTGAACTTAACAAACATCTTTGATAAGTTGAAAATTTATGATAATTAATACCAATATTAGTTAACTTGAAATAATATTTTCTAATACTAACCTTTCCTTGCAAGAACTTTTTGAATTCAAGGAGCAATAACAAATCCAGTTTCATCTATATTCCAGATACAGTCTTGAGTAAGTGAATGTTCCTCTATTATCTTTTCTAATTTACTAAAATGTTCTTTGATAACTATTGGATTTGCTTTTTGAGCATGTGTCTCTGATAAAGCTTGAGGCATTCGAAAAAATAAATCTGTGTAATCTTTTAAAAAATGATTCTACCAAGCTCTGCCAGGCCTTTTAGTTGCAAATAGATGAGCACGATGGTTGTTATGCACTATTTTCATAACACAATAGTTCACCCCTGACTTTGATAGACCAAATCCTAATCTTTGCATATTCTTGCAATAGCCCACTAGTTGTTCTTCTTCGTGTTTGCTTAGAATTGTCTCAGAACCAGGACATTTAGGTAAACCATTTTTAACGGCGCATTTAAGTGTTGTCTCAGAAATTCCAAACCTTATGATAATTGAATTTATACTGGAGTTTGTGAAGCTTGCAAGTTCTTTAAGGGCAGCTTCAATTGTGGAATAATGGTCTTTATAATTATGCTTTATTACGTCTTTGTTAGATGCTTTTTTAGATACGGTCTTGGTTTTTTTTACATGTTTGGTTTTAGTCTTTTTAATAGTTTTTACTAACATTTTTATTTTAATAACTAACTGTATTAATAAATAAAAAATAATCATCTAATGAAAATAATTACAGCTTTATTAATATTTCGAGATCAAAGCTATTGAATTTTGAATTTTTATAACATTTTAAGGCAGCATTTTTTTTTTACAATAAAGAGATCATATTTTATTTTTATTAGATACAATAACAAATAAAGCATTACATCATATCAAACAATTACAATTTTTTAATTTTAATTATTAAAATGATATAGTAAAAAAAAATCTTTTATTTATTTATAAAGTACTTTTCTGAATTAGGCAGTTGACTTTTGTCTTGCTAATTTCTATACAAATATAAATTTAGAGTCCTGTGAATAATTTTATAAAAATATTTAAACAATTATGATTTTGTTTTTACTTTAATTGTAAAGTATCTTTCTGAATTAGACCATTGACTTTTGTCTTGCTAATTTCTATAAAATTTAAAATCACGCACATTCAATTGTTTAGCTTTATTCATGTAGCAGAAAATAGCGAGTAACAGCTATAACACAATAACGCTTTTTGTTTTAATTTTCTTTTTGAATTTAAGCATACATCTCAATAATAATATTTATTAATTCAACTTTCTAAACGTTAATAATCGAATCAAACCAATAAGAGTAAACTACATAGTTTAGCAGTGAGAAAAAGTCGAATACATGATAAAAAAAGAGTAAGCACTATCAAATTAAGATCATGATTACTATTGTTTATAAATTTGATAGTCTTTTAACAACAAAAAATCTCAAACAAAAGAAACATTTCGCTGTAGACTAGAGTATTAAGACTTATAAGATTTTGCGAATTTTTTTATTGTTCATATAATAAAACTTTTGAAAATAAATCAAAATAATTGAAGAACGATTGTTTTATAAGGGAATAAAATATTTATTTATAATTTTAATAATAAGAATTTTGTTATAAAATTGATTACATCCCTAAACAACATTTTCAAGTTTTTTTTTTAGTTGATCTATTGATACCCTTTACTTAATGAACAAATGCCACCTCGACATCACTATTGGAAAATGAAACCACCTAAACTACCCATCTTTAAATATAGAGAAAGTATAGAAAAGGTGGTGTATAATAAAATATCAAAAGCAGATAAAATTAAAGTTTCAGACGATAAGTTTTTTGTGGTTGAAAGAGGCCAGGTAGCTGTTTTTGAAAGAAGCAAATCTCATAAGGCAGTTAGTTGTGAATTGAAAAAAAAAAGATCTCATAAAGAATTTAATAAGAATCCTTCACCTCAAGATAATACTATAATTAACTTATCTCAGGATGATGATGTAATCATAGTCAACTCACCTCAAGATGAAATTAATAAAAATCCTTTACACAATATAATTATAATTGACTTATCTTAAAACCTTTTAGAATAAAACTCAAGTACTATCTTACAATTATACTTGACACCTAAATTTTAGCTACTATTCACACCCAAAATACTTGACACCTAAATTCAACCACTATTTACACCCAAATTCTAAATCCTGACTTAAAACTTTATTAATAATCTTTAACTAAATGATCAAAATACATGCTCTATATATACTGTATATGCTCTATATGAATTCTCTTTAAATTACATTATAACTTAGCCTATTTTACAAGAGTTCAATACATTTTGCTTTTTATAAATATACATTTCACTTTTTTTTTATAATAGTTCTAAGAGAGTGTATTTATAAAGGTGTGGCTGTATATAGAATCTATTAATAAATTGTTTGATTCTCACCTGAAATTAAAAAAATATGCGTTAGCTCAAGTTTTTCTTTAGTAATTCAATGAATAGTCTGTTATACTTATAGCCAGAAAACCTATTCATTTGACAGAATACAAACCAAAATTCTTCACTGTTAATTTTACATTTCTGTGAAACCGTGATTGCACAAGGCTTCAAGTCTGATTACATTTGTTTAAAATCATAGTTATGCTGTATTAAACAAATTACCATGCTTATCTTGGACTAGGTAAATTAATTTGTGCCAGTATAGCAAAAAAAAAAATGGTAAGCTTAGATATAGTAAAGTGACTAATTTTTAAAAAAATTGCTAAAAAAAAATAAAAGATTATGAAGAAAGTTGTAAGCTTGCTTTCACAGTTAAAGAAAAAATTTTGATTATGTGGTGTTAGAGAATAAAAAATAAAAGAAATCGATGTTGATATAAAAAGCATGATTTTTGTGTGATTATCGCTATTATAATACATAATATACATCAATTTTCTTTGGCTATTAATCATTTTAAACAAAGCAGAGTTTTTTACTAAGCAAACCGAACTTCATCCACTAAGTAAAGCTATTGGAAACACCATTTTTTTAGATATTTTCAAATTTTGATGCAATTTGGTTAACTTTTTTTAATCAACTTTCTCAATTTACATTTTGGTGCGTGAGACAAATTTTTTGCATAAAGACGAATAACGTGAATGTTGATTAAAGGAAAGTTAACCAAATCGCATCAAAATTTGAAGGTATTTAAAAAATGGCATTGCCAATAACTTTACTTAGTGGATGAAGTTTGATTTGCTTAGTAAAAAAATCCTTTTTCCTTGTAATATGTTCAATTTGCCATAATACCTGCATTCGCCATAATACCCTCACCTCCCTACATATGTATGTACATTGTAAAAGGGTAGATCGTTGCTTGTAATGGATTTTTCCATATTTGCTAGGTCAGATGCATATTAGATTTAGCAAACTAGAAGGATTTGGCTCGTTTGTATTATAGATGCAGACTTATTTACATCAATAGTTACGGCTCAATTGCATTTTATTTTATAAACCAATTTTTTATATAGGACATAACTAGATGATGTCATAAGTCTGCATCTATAGTTTGTATGCTGAGGTGGCTCAGGTCGAATCTAACCAAAGTTAGTTAGTACTTAGTAAGTGGAAGAAAATCCTTACCATAATGGTAAAATTCACTTTAGTAGCTTTAGTGGATTTAGTGGATTTCGCGAATTTAGCGAATTTAGCGGATTTTGTGGATTTAGTCGCTTTAGTGGTTTTCGCGTTTTTCGAAACTTCTATAGAATTGTAGCTTAGTTAGATAATTTATATTGTATAGAGTAACGATGTAAAACTATAAAAGAGGTGCTTATTCGCTTTGCAAATAAAATAGCTTTGGTTGAGTTAAAAAGCTCTAAGTTAAAGAAATCAGAGTATTTAACTTACGATTCACCCTAATATTGGTAGAACTCGGGAGAGTTCAAGGTTTTAAGTCAAAGAAATCAGAGTATTTGACTTGTGTTTCACTCTTGCAGTATAAAACCCGGTTGAGTTCGAAGTTCCAAGTTAAAGAAATTAGAGTATTTAACTTGAGAGTAGTAAGTTCTTTAAGTAGAAGCGTTTGTTCTACTACCCCCTCCCGATAAGTTAAATCCGTAATTACGAAAGGAACTCGTGACCAAATCCCGTGATTCTGAATAAGAAGATTCGTGACGTAATCAAGAGCTCTAATCCGGCACCATCGCTAAGAATCCAATTTACCCTGGTTACTCGGACCAAGTCTTTCCACGCCTCAATCGTTGCCTTACCACTACTAGGGGTTTGGTTGTATTAGTTGTAGTGTTTTGGTTAGAGAGTTTAGTTAGTGTTAGTAGTGTATAGTTGTATTATCCAGAACCGGTGCATCTTTTCCCCGTTTACAACGTACGTACGTACGTACGTATCGGTATCTTTTAGTATATTCCATATGTGCTTTATAGTGTAACCGTGATAAACTTTCTGAGATTACAGAATTGTCGATCCAACAACCACAATTTCATACTGTAACTATAAAAATAGTATATTGTGTTAGGTTAAAAATGCCAGTATGCACGTACAAAAGTCACCAATTCTATCTGCTATGCTTTTACAGAATTTATTACAAAAGAATTGAGGGAATTTTAGCTCTATGGAAGATTTAGAATTGCCAACTTCATACAATGATATTGTATTACCGAATGCATGGGGAGTTGAAAATAAATCTCCATTTATTAACCTAGATTCAAGTGGACTTAAAGTGAGTTATACAGGTAAATGAACATTGAAACAGTATAAATCGTTGATAGTTCAGCCAATTTATCAAAAATCTTTTAAAGATCCTGATGAAAATAAAGCTATTATAATTCGAGCAAATCATCCGATTCCTTTAGAGTGTGTGATATTTTACTTCGAAATTAAAATTATTAATCAAGGAAACAATGGGTATGTTAATTATTTTATTTTCATTTTATAATATCACCTTTTACTTATGATGCTTTTCATTATATTTATTGATAGAATGATTGGAGTTGGATATTGTACAAAGCAAAACGATAAAGAAATAGGCGATACAAATGTAAAAACAAATTTTATATATGACATGCTCATGCCAGGTAATGATAGATTTTATTCCATTTTATATTATTATAAATTAACATCAAATATCATATATAATATCCCTTAGGACAAGAATATAAGGAAAATGGGGAAAATAGATTGTGGGGGTGTGGTTACCATGGTGATGATGGGTATTCGTTTTGTTCTGGAAGTGGCGAGCCGTATGGACCAACATATATTACTGGTGACATTATTGGATGCTATTTAAACGTCTTAAAGAAAATAGTATTTTATACTAAAAATGGAGTCAACCTAG